ACGTCTCCCTTGCTGCGCAAGGGGAAGACCGTGGTGTAACGCGTGAAGTCGTCGACAACCAGCAGAAAGTACCGCTCACGGCCCTGTCCCTGGACGCGGGCTGGGCCCCACACGTCCAGGTGAAGCGTCTGCAGGGGAGCCTCTGTGGGAGGAAACGAGGAGGAGTGAGGAGCGGCGCGCTGCCGCCCCTCGACGCAGGGAATGCAGGGCGGCGCAGGCGAGGGAGGGAGGGCAGGCAGAGACCTGGGAAGCCCAGAGACCAGAGAGCGAGAGTGCATGCTACGAAGGCGAGGCAGGGAGGGGTGACCAAGGCGGTGGTGCCACAGGAGCGTGTCGTGCGACAGGCGGCGGCACTCACACTGGGTAGCTACCTGAGCAGACGCGTACAGCTGTGGAGACAAAGGAGCGGAGCGTGAAACAGTGGTGAGGGTGTACAGACTGGACCCCGGCTCACGAGTGAACGTGGCCAGGTGGCGGCCAGTCTTGGAGCACGTACAGATCGCCACACGCTGCCCTCCAGGAGTCCAGGTGTCAACCCAGTGATCCTGGAGGACGGCGTTGCTCACCAGGTTCGTAGAGAACGAGGGAACGAGGAGACCTGACAGCTCACCAGACGGGACCGCCGGGCACGGGAGCACAGTCGTGCCGCGTGCAAGCACTGGGCCCCCAGAGGGGTCAGTTAGGGAGACAGGGACAGGTGCAGGGAGCGGAGTGACGGTGGTGCTATCACGAAAGAAACAGCGGGAAGCACCAGAGTCAAGTGTAAACGTGTGCAAGGCCTGAGCCGACTCAGTACCAAGGGGAGCAGACTCACTAGCACCTAGGGCTGCAGTCCTTATACCGGGGTCAGGCGGCACACACAAGTAGCAGTCACCCTCAGCACTAATAGTCAATGCATACATGGCAGCAAGAATAACATCATAGTCCAGATCAAAGATAGGCACATCACGCCTAAGCAGCTCTGCCCAGTTGGGGAACTCAGTAGCATCAGGATACTTAGTACGCCAGGCGTCACTAAGCCTAGCAAAACAACGATACTCAGTGTGAAAACCGTTGCAGGGGCGACCCTTGCGGGGGCCAGTACGAATGACATAGGGGCAGCGGTCAGAACCCCGAGACGCCCCACGCCCAGCATACCAGTCATTGAGCTGCTGGGAGGTGAGGGGAGGAAGCTGCTGCTGCTGCTGTGGCTGTTGCTGCTGCTGCTGCTGCTGGCCACCCTTCTGGCCAGATCCACCCCCACTCCCACCTCCACCGCCACTGCCGCTGCCTCCTCCCCCACCACCGCCGCCGCCGCCTCCACCGCTCCCGGTCCTGCCGCCACCCCACCCACCGCCTCCACCCCCACGGCCACCCCCACCACCTCCACCACCCCCGCCGCCTCCACCACCGCTCCCTCCACCGCCACCTCCGCCACCCCTGCCACCCTTGCCGCCCCTGCCACCACCACGCTTCCCACCAGGAGCGGAAGCCGCTGCGACCTTCTCCGCACCGAGGAAGTCAACAGCAGTAGCAGCAGAGGCGTAGGAGGGGTCAAGAGGGGAGGGGGAGCACCCCTCAAAGAGGGGAGTGCGGGGAGTGCCACGAGCAGCACCGACAGCGAGGATGTTCTTCTCTGCTGCGACCAGCTGCTGCTCGAAGTCGTCCAGAGTGATAGTTGGAGGATCCTTGGCAAGGAAGTAATCCCTGACAGAGCGAAGAGTGTCAGGGAGGCGGGTGACGAGGATGTAGAGGGTGAAGTACAGCGGGGGGGTGTTCGTGGCGAGGAACTCTTTGGTAAGAGCGGCTCGAAAGCGGGCGTCACTAGCGCGGAGGTGAGTGATAAGGTCGGCAGCAGTGTGAAACGAGGCTAAGTCTGGGAACAGGTAAGGCAGGATGAGACTACCAACGGTGGCTGTGGTCGGGGCGGAATAGCGGGCAACGACAGCATCATACAGCGTCTTAGCAGTCTTAAGCTGGTTGAAATGCGCGCGCTCAGAGATCGGTAGGTGATTGCGAATAACAAGGCGCGCGACAGCATCGCGGAGCTCCCACTGTGCTCGTTCAGGGGCAGGAGCAGTCTCAGCAGGAGTAGGGACAGTGCCGGTCACATAGGCTAGCAGGGACACTCCGTCTGCGACGTCAGTCATAAGGTAAAGGCGCAGGTCACTAAGCCAGGTGTCAAACTCGATGGGGCGGCCGTCAGGCTCAAAGGCGAGAACAGTAAGGGTCGCCATGGTTGTAGCGCAGGCAAAAGTAGCAGGCTCAGGCAGCAGGCTCAGGCAGTAGGCTCAGGCAGCAGGCTCAGGCAGCAGGCTCAGGCAGCAGGCTCAGGCAGCAGGCTCAGGCAGCAGGCTCAGGCAGCAGGCTCAGGCAGCAGGCTCAGGCAGCAGGCAAAGACTGCAGGTTCAGGCAGCAGGCTCAGGCAGCAGGCAACTGTAGCAGGTAAGGAAGCACGCAGTTTTGTGACAGGCCGCGCGTAAGGCAGGTAAGCGCACGACTCACGGGCGGCTAAGCGCTCAGGTCGAGGCAGTGGCGCACAGGCAGGGCAGGGCACGCGCTGCTGCGGGCTGCGCGCGGCTGCGGGCTGTGCGTGGCAGCTGGCTGTGCGCGGCGACGGGCTGCGTGCGGCTGCGGGCTGCGCGCGGCGACGGGCTGCGTGCGGCTGCGGGCTGCGCGCGGCGACGGGCTGCGCGTGGCTGCGGGCTGCGCGTGGCTACTGGCTGCACGCGGCGGCGGGTCGCGCGTGGCGGCGGGCTGCGCGCGGTGACGAGCTGCGCGCGACAGCAGCGAGCACGCGGGCGGCTAAGGCAGCGGGGCGCGCTAAAAAAAAATGCACGCGCGCATGCAGCCGAGGCGCGCGCGGGCAGCAGGCAAGGTAGGCACGTAGGTATAGCTGTAGGGAAAGTAACTCATGAGTAGGTGGGCCCCAATCTTAGGTCCTTAGGACCATTGCTCTAGATGCCATGTTGAGATAGCTAGGCAAGGTGAGTTGACTATCGAGAGAAATTTTACAAGTAGGAAAACCCTAAGGGGTTATCCCCTATAACATCTACCCCACTACAGCCTACCAATATGTATCACATATATATATCATTTGACACTCTGTAGTGACCTTGTTGAATAATAATTGAAAGAGAACAAGATGATTATAAGATATGAATATAAGAGATTAAATAGCAAACTAGCTAGCCATGTACTCTGAGGGATGCATTCCCTTATTAACTGTATTACATAGCTACAGTAACCACGACTATTGCCATGGTCGACAGTTACCATGTTGCAGCGAACAACTGTCGCTCGGTCACTAGACGGTCAAGGGTCACGACCGTTGACTACCCTCGACGGTTGACCTTCGGGTGAACCTCGTCCTTCCGCATGCTCTATACGAGCTATTTCGGTACTGGTACAGTGGAATACCTTCGGGAATGCTTATATAACCTTTCGGTTATTCTAACACAATTTGGGCTTTGTTGGCCCTCTGGTTTTAAGAACAATCCCGCGTTCACAATTTTCAGCGACAGCGGGAAGAGGCTTCGAAACGCGGCAGCAGCCTCGGCGGGGGATGGGGAGCACCTCACCTACTGAAGCATCATAAGCAGGAATCATGCCGTGAACCTTTGAAGAAAGCAGATATGAGGTTGAAAATATACTCACTGTTACCTTTATCGCTAGCCTCTAGTAAGATAATGAAATACACTATAATGTATACATCCAATTTTGCTTGACTGCCCAACGCGACCCTCGACCGCGTTCTGCAACATAAGGGGGCGTATTCACTTTGTTGACACGGCAATAAGTGAAATGGTTACACATTGCTCAACCAATTGGTAGCCTGCTGGAGTGATTTCTAGCCCCCCTATCCACCCGAAATCGTGAAACGTTCCTGCCGAAGACCACCTCATCGTCCTTTAGTGAGTGATTGCGTTTCATATAAAACCAGTCGTTTGACTCCCCCACCGCATTCCACGCTCCCTTAGCGACCTTCTCGCCCGCCAGCCACACAACCGTGTTCCAAAGCCTTACTCGCCTCCCAGCGGCGTGGCAGCGTCGAGCGCGCACTTCAAATAGCCAGCCCACAGCAGCCATGGAGCGTCGTGAATTGCCGCTTCTGTGCCATAACCCCCTGTTGTGCCATCTCGCCGTCGCTCTCTCTGCGAGACTATCTCGCCGCCCCTCATTCTGCCCAACCATCGTCGGCGAATCTGCGCCCATATCGCGCCAACCACTGCCATCCACCATCGCCACCGCCACCTGCGCTGCGCGGCCTCTCCGCCGCGCCTCTCCGCTGCGCCGATCGGTTTTCCGCTCCGCTCGCCACGATGGGCGGCTTTCCGGCGCTGCTCGCGCTGCTCGCGCTCGCCCTCATTCTCGGTCAGCCCACCACCCGTGCCGCCCCGCGAATGCTGCTCTGTGCGCATGCCAGTGTGCTTTCGTCGGTCCTTTGTTTCAATAAATTTGTGGGCTGGCTTTAAACTGGTTTCCGTACTATACACCAGCCAAACCCGTGGGGGGAGTGGGTGGAGGATCCCTAAACCCTGTGAGAGAGGTGCTTACAATGTACTTGCATAGAAGGTACTAGATACAACCGTGGGTAGTATGCACTTTCTGGCTACTTCACTGGCAGCCTTATATGGTTATGACCACTGGCTGCGTAATAAATAGTTAGTGTTTACTGACTGGGTACTGCGAAGGGATATGGACCAGGTACATGGTGGTTACCTTTATCCTACCCTGTATCAGATGGGAAGTAAATTGCTTCTAGCAGAACCTGTAAGTAGTACGTTCGGCCCTGCAATGTAGCTTGGGCCAATATCGCATGCACCTGTACTGTAACCACTTTGTAGCTGTGGCGAGATTTTTTGGGATGTTTGTTTTGTGCCCACCGCCCACCATATCTCGTCTTCACACTCGCCTGCACTGGCAGTGTGTCCGCACCCGCGCGATCTCCCCGTCACTCCTCACGCTCGAAAGCGGCATTCTGCCTCTCACGCTACCGAACTCGACTGGAGGATGCCGGAATGCGGTCCGACCAGAGCAGACCACACCAGCCAACTCTCTGCCCTTCTCTCTTCCCCTTTCGTCCCTTGTCGCCCTCCGCTGCAGCGAGTGACGTCATCCGCGGGGCGTCCGGTCAAATCATGTTTCCAATGCCCGCGCCGCTGGCGCCGGTGGCGACGCGGATCACGGTCACGTCTCCGCCCAGCACCTTCGCATCCAACTTCTCCGCGGCGCGCTGCACCAACCTGCCGCGCACCGCTTACAGCGTCTCCGTGCAGTGGACGTCCGCTGCCGCGCCCAATCTCCCCGCGTGCGCCAACATCACCTTCTGGAGCGGCGCGGGTTGCACCGGCACCTCCTCGCTCTCCCTCAAGCCCGCCAGGTCAGCGTCACGCCTGTGCCGTGGGGTGGGGTGGGGTACAGTGCGGTTGAGTTAGATTTGACTTATGTGTTGGCGTCGAACCAAAGCTGGTTACCTGGAATCGTATGATAAAATGGTACGCGATCTAAGCTTTAAACGAGGCAGCGTGATTTCTTCCATGGTGGCTCAACCGAAATCTCGTTTCTCGCGTGCTTCCTGTGCCTCCCCTCCCTCTCCAGCCTGACCACCAGCACCACCAATTCCACTCTCCTCTATCCGTATCCTGTGTCGGCTCGCTGCTTTATCGGTACGCCCCTTGTCGCCCTTCCCGTACACGCCCAGTCAGTAGAATGCCTGTCGCTGCACAGCAATCCCGGTGATTTAATCCCAGATGCCTCATCCGCGTGCCTGTACGTCACGTGCCCTGCCATTGGCACCCCCACGCCAACCACGGACACCAGAGGCGTGGCCTGCGCTGCAGGGTACGTACGCCCAAGGCACGTATCTATAAGCAGTGCAGTAAGAGCTTCGTCCATTGCACGCAAAGGGTTGCAGCATTGCCACGGTATGACAGGTGCCCTCCCTCCGCCACAGCAGCTTCACTTGCTGCCTCGTGCCTCACGAGCCGCGAGTCCTCCTCTCTCGAATGGACCTTGTATTAAATATAGAAAGCGTACAGATTAGATGCCTCAAAAACAACCAGTGGACCAGCATTCTACCTACCTACAAACTCCTAGTCTTCCCCTCCCCCCCCCCCCCCCCCCCCCCCCCACTCGGTCAGCTGGTGCAGCTGCCCCTCGATCAGAGGGGTGAACGTTCCTTGCAAGCCTCGAACGTCCTCCTCTCTCTCTTACCCTATTGACCCCCTCACCTCCCCTTGCTGCTCTGCCCGCGCCTTCACTGCATCGCGTCACCTGGCGTCACCCCGGTTGCACCAGCCGGAGACCCGGTGGACCGAAGTGCGGGGTGGCCCACGGAGGTGGAGGCGAGGGTGGCAGTGACGACGGCGGTGAAGGTGGGCCGCTACAACTTCTCCTTCGACCCCTCCTCGCGCTGCTCCCGCCTGCCCGACGCCACGGCGCCCGCCGGCGTGAGCACGGTGGCGAGCGTGCAGTGGGGCAGCGCCAGCAGCTTGCCGGGCGGCGGGGCCAGTGGGCCGTGCTCCCGCGTGTCCTTCTTCCCGGGCACCACCTGCAACGGCGCCGTCATGCAGCACATCTACTCCTACTCCAGGTCCGTGCAAGGCAGTGCTAGGCAAGGCAAGGCAGGGCAGTGCCATGGATCTGGTTGGAGGGTAAGGCAGGGCACGGGTGGGGGATGGGAGGAGGAAAAGGAAAAGGAATTAGGGAGAGTGGTGAGAGAGAGATGATGGCATGGGTGGCGTTGAACGGGGTGAAATTAGATGGGATCAGAGAAGGCGGGACCTTGGCTCAAAGCTGTGTTTTGCTCTCTGTTCTCTTCTTCTTCTTCCCCCAAGCAGCAACACGGCGACCATCACACCATCCCAAGCACTCGCGTCAGTTGTCTGCGCAGTCCGTACGTCCCCTTTCTGCCTTTCACCCCTTGCTGCCTTTCACCCCTTGCTGCCTTTCACCCCTTGCTGCCTTTCACCCCTTGCTGCCTTTCACCCCTTGCTGCCTTTCACCCCTTGCTGCCTTTCACCCCTTGCTGCCTTTCACCCCTTGCTGCCTTTCACCCCTTGCTGCCTTTCACCCCTTGCTGCCTTTCACCCCTTGCTGCCTTTCACCCCTTGCTGCCTTTCACCCCTTGCTGCCTTTCACCCCTTGCTGCCTTTCACCCCTTGCTGCCTTTCACCCCTTGCTGCCTTTCACCCCTTGCTGCCTTTCACCAATTAGTGCATTCAACCTGTTTTACCTGGCCCACGGGTTCTGAAAAATCAGCTCCTTGGAATCTGCTCGTGCCATGTGCAGCGTCCTCCACGGTGTGCAAGTACACCACATGCTCTGCCAACTCCGTGTGCTGGGAGACCAGCGACTTGGACAACAGGGCAGCCACGTGCCGCTGCAAGGACGGCTATGCTGTCATCAACGGCACCTGCCAAGGTACAGTGCTGTGCTCGCGTGCACGGCTGTGGTTGCCGAGGTGCAAAAGGAATGTGCTTGCCAGCATACTGATGTTGGGTCGATGCCTTGCTCGCAATTACGAGAGGAGCATGCATGATTCTATTGGATTTTCCAAAGCTGGCCCGTTGTGGGGCTACGGGCGCATGATTTTAATGGACACTATCAGTATGTTCTAGTGACCGTTTCCCTCTTCTTCTGCACCTACTCCCTTCCACTGCAGACAAGTGCAATCTGTACTGTGTGGCCAACGCCAGTTGTGTGAGGGATGCGAGCATGGTTCCGGATTGTGTGTGCAACAAGGGCTTTCAATATGCTCCCAACAGCAACACCTGCGTTGGTGAGTTGCGTGTCGTATAACCGAGTCTACCCAGCACGTGAGTTCAAACAAGTGCAATCTGTAACCAATGAATGCGCTCTTTCTTGCTATGCATTCCCCTTATGCATCCCAAACATGCTATCCTGCTTGCTTCCATGGCCCCTCTCTTCTTTTACAGATAAATGTACTCTTGTGAATTGTGGGCCCAACGGCAAGTGCATTAAGGATGCAGATGGAGATGCCACCTGTGCTTGCAATGCTGGCTTCCAGATGCCTCCCAACAAGATCACTTGCGTTGGTGAGTTGCACCCAGTGGCACTCTGTAAGCACTGTTACACTTCCCTGGTTCGTTCGGCCTACCTCGTGTTTCCTGTGCTCTTGCTGCATCTTGCAACCTGCAGCGAGTGATTCCGTTCTTAGCCCATGCTGTGCCCCTCATTTCTCACATGTGATTATTTTCTCCTCCTACTTCCCCCATTCCCACCTCTATTGCTCGTCTCTTAATCCTCATGCATTGCAGACAAGTGCGACTTTGTGACATGCAAGGCCAACTCAACGTGCGCCAAGGATGCAAACGGGAATACAACTTGCGAGTGCATCAAGGGCTTCGAGAGGCTTCCGGGCAACGATGCTTGCATTGGTGAGTTGTGCGTGCTGGTTGAGTTGCTGCACTTGCTCAGTCGTCCCGAGTGTCCTTTTAACAAGAGAAAGGCGTGGTGGAAGTGGTATGTTACGCTGGCCTACACCCAAGAAGTGGGGTTAGTGGCATTGTAATGAAGGGGGGTTAACGGTGTGATATCAAGCGTGAGAATCACATCACTGATCGCGTGCATGCTTGGGAGATTTGATCTGCTGTCAGCAGGCATGACACTCACGACCCATTGCTGTCAAACCTCACCATTTCCTTGTATGTGTGCAGACAAGTGTGAATCAGTGAATTGTGGGACCGGCGGCAAGTGCAGGACGGATGCAGATGGAAATCCGGAATGTACTTGCTTCACCGGCTTCACGCAGCAGTATGATGGCACTTGCATCGGTGAGCTCAGTTGACTGCCTTCCACTCCACTTGCTCCACTTGACCGGTCATTTAGCCGGGGAATACATCAAAAGAATGTGGTGCAAGTAGCATGTCACAATGGCGTCCAGCCAAGATGTGGGACAGCGACAGTGTGAATCGGCATCAATGTTCGCGTGAATGCTTGGCAGCTTCTAAATCCGACACCAATATGCTCACGTTGCGTACCTCTCATTCCATGCTTGTCGTAACACTTCCTTGTCATGCATCCATGGTTGTCAATACTCATCATTCTCCTCTATGTATGTACCCTGTCATTCCTTTATTATGTGTTTCCTTTTTGTTGCAGACAACTGTGATTTGGCTGGTTTCTACTGTGAGCCCGGCTCATGCAAGAAGGATGCGAAGGGAAATCCGTATTGTGAATGCGGCCCAGGCTACAGACTGTCTGCTGAGGGGCGCTTTTGCATTGGTGGGTTGGAGGAGTGCAAGCGGTTGCATGTTGCGTTCTCCACCTGCCCTGGCAGTTGCTCGGCTGTGAGCTTGAGTTTGTAGCTGAGCGGGTTTCTCTTGCCTCTTCCTTGATTCCGCCTCTCCTCTTGAAGAATTGCAAGCAGAATCAACTTTGTTTCTAGAATGGAAACCTTTCTCTCGCCTTGGTTTCCTTTCCTGCAGACATTTGTGACACAGTGGATTGTGGCGAAGGCACGTGCGTGAAGAGATTTGATGAGGAGGGCAACGGACATGCAGAATGCGATTGCCCCGCGGGCTACCAAGTGGATGGGAGTGGGCGCTGCACTGGTGAGTTGAAAGGTCTCTCTTCGAGACTGGCCTCGAGGCCACGAGTTGGTGGAACCTGGAGCCTGTACAGATTGGCTACTCCTCAGCTGAGCTGCTATGATGTGTGTTCCACCTGGGTTTCTGTCAGTGCATTCTCCAAATTGTTTCCTTCTTTTGCATCAACTCCATTCCACTGCAGACATATGCAATGTGGTATGTCCGTCCAGCCAAACGTGCAGGAGGAATGGGGACTACATCTCGTATTGTACCGAATGGGGTGAGTTCCATGCCACCTAGACTTGTATAGCATGTGAGCTCATACCCCAGTTTCCACAACGGTGAATGTGCCAATGAGCTCTGTTTGAACTCTTCTCAGCTCAGCTTCACGCTCTGGCTTGGGCGCTGTCAAGTGTGAATGGAACCGCCGTTCCTGCCACGGGCATGTGGTGGAAAGAGCTGTTCACGCAGCCTACCTCTTGTTTCATGTGCGCTCGTTGCAGCCTGCAGCAGTGAAGGTTGCAACCTCATGGTTGTCATCATTCCCTTTACTTTTATTTTTTATATGTATTCTTTTCTTTGCAGTCTATTGCGAGAGGAATTGTGGGTATGGCGGCATGTGCAGGATCGATCAAGTTAAGGATATCGAGTACTGTCTCTGCGACCCCGGCTACAAGCTGTCTGCTGACCAACTCTCTTGCATTGGTGGGTTGGAGGAGTGCAAGTGGTTGTGTGTTGTGTTCTCAACCTGTCCTTGGGAGTTGCTTGGGTTTGAGTCTGGAGTTAATAGCAAATCTCTCATGCCACTTGAGTGTTTTAGCCTCCCCTCAACCTTGGAGGATTTCATGCATACTGTACTCACGATTGCTTTTTTGTCCATTTGCCTCGGTTTTTCTTTGTGCAGAAGAATGATCAGTGGATTGTTGGCCCTACGGCAAGTGCGTGAAGGAGGAAAAAAGAGATTCAACTTGCGATTGCATCGAGGGCTTCCTGCTTCCGGACAGATTGTTTTGTGTCGGTGTGTAGAAGGTTTCGTTGACCTGACGCTTGGAGTGTCAGCACTTTGTCAAGAGCCTTGTCGGTACAAGTTGTACAATAGCCGAAGGGTAGAATGCTCTGATTGCCCTTGCTGTGGGCCCTTCTAGGATTGCCGTTATTTTGTAAGTGAAATTCACTAGAAACCAGGGCCTATTTTATCAGTGTAAATCACCCTGATACCCTGATTATAAGGGTGATTTTTGGTACCGTAGTAACACTGATGTTGTTGGGTACCGTATTCCCCCGGATAAAACACCCGGGGGTATTATGATAACCACTGGGAAAAAATGGGGGGGGTCTCAACGGAAAATCCTACATAATACCCGAGTCTTATTATATTGTACTTTTTTTTTTAGCAGAATCGATGTGTTTCAAAATGTGGTGTGTGACTTCACTTCTTGTTTGTTAAACAGTGCCGCAAAACCGAGTATACGAGGATAACGTGACCGCCCACTGGACTCTGCCACATGGCAACTTCCAGTGGGCTAACTATGGACCCTGATTGGCTGGAAACAGAGCCAGCCATGCATAGCGAGAGTTCATGCAACTCTTGAGGCCGGAATCGCGCACTATGCTGCGTTGTCACTGTACCAGTCACGTCTTGACTGGTTTGGTCACGTCCCTGTGCCTCAAAGGGCTCTCTCAACTCCTCCCCGTGGAGCGGTTCCAGTGCACGTTACTGACGAGTGCTCGACAGGCTGTTAGAGCACCTCCGTCCTGCAGGCTAGCGTCTTTGTTTATAGCCATTCCCGATATGGCTAGTGACACCAACCTGCACTAGCCTAGCATGGCTTCCTCACCCGACTCTAGCAGTACGATAGTTAGGCGGGCGCGTCCCTCTACCTCTCAGTCTCCCGCTGCTGCTCGCGCACGGACGTCGCCTCGTCCCGTCTTGCCCCAGCCGTCTCCTCCTGGTAGTGCTTCTACCAGGGATGAACCGAGCAGTAGCTCCGAAGCTCTTCGTCCTCCCCTTCTTCGTGTCGTTGTCCCCACCTTCCCAGAGAGTAAGTGCCCGCAGGGTTAGACGAAGCGCGACGTGGATGGTGAGACACCATCCCCTCGCCACCGCATGACGAAGAAAGTGCGTCACGCGATCACTGCGAAGGAGAAGCTGCACTGGCTGAAGATGCAAGACTCTCAGCCCGATCTTGGGAATTGCGCCCTGGCGAAGCTCGCCAAGGTCCAGCCCTCCCAGATCCGCGAGTGGAAGAAGCTGAGGTGGAGATTGCTTCTAGCTGCCGACGTCGCCTCGTGGGCGAGGGCCGCAAGGCAAAATACCCGTTCATGGAACGGGCGGTCTACCGCCACTTCTTGAAGCACCGGGCGAAGGGCCTTGCCGTCTCGGTCCGAATGCTCCAGCAGTGGAGCGCCAAGTGCATGAAGCACCGGATGCCGTCCGTCAATTGGCGCGCTTCGTATCGCTGGGTTTCGCGTTTCCGCGTGCGCTGGCACTTGGCGAGGCGGGTGAAGACGAAGATGGGGCAGAGGTTGGCCGCCGGCGAGACACTGTTCAATCTGTTTAATTTGCCGGTTGGTTTCTGTGCAATTTGTTTCATATTGCCGTTGTCTGTTTCTACGACCTACCGGTAGATCTAAGGCGTGCGGTTGATCTGTTTGCAGATTGCAAGGCGAAGGTGGAGGCGTTTTGGGAGTTTGTGCGCCAGATGCGCACTCTGCATGACTACCCACTCGACCTCATCGTGAACGCGGACCAGACTCCGCTCTTCTTGGAGATGCCGGCGGAGCGCACCATCGAAATGAAGGGAGCGCGTACGGTTCACGTACGCAGTGCAGGATACGAGAAGGAACGCGTTACTGTCATGCTGGCAGTAACGGCGGGTGGCCTCAAGCTTCCTCCCTACGTCGTGTTCAAGCGAAAGACAATCCCGAAAGTCCCAATTCCTGCCGGTAAGTGAAGCATGTTTACAGTTTACGGTGTGCTCATGCCTGTCGGGCGTCCTGACCCGTCTACACCCTTGCGTTGTGACTGGCAGGTGTGGTGGTCCGTGCACAAGACAAGGGGTGGATGGACGAATCCCTTGTGCAGGACTGGATCACCCAGGTGCTCGTGCCGTTTCTGAAGCCCCTGCGGGAGACCAACGACCGCCGCAGGGAGGCCTTGGTGGTGCTTGACTCCTACCGCAGCCACTTGACGCAAGCCGTCGGTCAGACGATGCGGATGTTCAGGTTGTCCCAGGCGGTCATTCCAGGAGGCTGCACACCGCTTGTCCAGCCTCTGGATCTGTCGGTGAACCGCGTGTTCAAGTGCGGGGTGCGTGCTCGCTACAGCGCATGGTTCGAAGAAGACGGCATCAACCTTACCACTCGCGCAGGTTCGTTGATGCCTTGTTTACCGTAGCATGCAAATCCCATTTTATAGACAGCGCACGCTTTGCAGATGCACGGTTCTAATCCCCCTGCCGTACATTGCTTCCCTTCCCACAGGTAACCTGAAGAAGCCGCCTGCGGACTTGGTTCTCCGCTGGATCGACGAGTCGTGGGAAGCTGTCCCAGAGGAGCTTGTGAAGAAAGCTTTCGTCACATGTGGTAGCTTTCAGGACCTTGATATACCCTGATGTGCCAGGTTTTAAGATTAGGAAACACTGTCGCCTCAGGGTTGCTGTTCCGCATATCGAGGTTTACCCTGAAGCACGTACCAGCCATCCCCCCCCCCTGCCCCCCTTGTCCCCTAACCACCCGACCCCGAAACCTGAATTTCGGTTTGCCAACTGTTAAAACTGTAGATTTCTGCTGGACATTACGTGTGCTGGAACGCGGTGGGCCACCATCTGTATGCTGTGTTAATAACAACTGAAGCAGGGTTTTGCGAATTGGTACACTGATGCCTCAGGGTAGTTTTTTTAACACATGCAAAAACCCTGACGCATCAGTTTTTCCACAACGGGTAACCCTGAAAATCAGGTTTTTTAACAGGTGCTAGACTGATCGTAAGGGTTGGTCAAAACCAAAAATTAGCCCTGCTAGAAACACTTAATGAAAAGTGTATTTTTAACAGCATGCTGTGGAATTAGGCATTCCACCCTTTTTCCTGGACTGGACAGGGTGATCCCGAACATACCCTACAACATAATTTCAGCAACTTCAATATCAGCAATCTGCTGAAGATTGTTACGCCACCAGACAGATAGGTACATGCGACGACACCTGCCCCCTGCAGTTACGCAGGTTGCCACTGCAAATTACGCAGGTTGCCACCGCTGTCGAACTATACATTTCATATATTGTTAGGCTATAGTGGGGTTAGCCTTAAGGGGTACATATTTCGAGGGTTTCGTACTTGCAATCCTCACTTAGTTCACTTCATTCCGCTGTTGTTTCTAGCTTAGTATATTATTCCACACCCGTTAGCAGGCCACGCCCTGCCCTGCCCTGTCCCGCGCTGATACGCTGCCCCACGCGCTGCCCTGTGCGCTGTCGCGCTGCCCTGCCCTGCGCGCTGCTGCCTCGTGCGTCCTTGCCCTGCGCGACGTTGTGCCGCCCGCCCCGCTGCCCCGCGCACTCGCGCAAAGCTGCGGCGCACGCCGCTGCCCTGCGTGCCGCTGCCATGCGTGGCGTCCCCTGCGCGTCGCTGCCCCGCGCGTCGCTGCTCACGACGCTGCCCCGCACGCTCTGCTACCCCGCGCACCGCAGCGCCGCACGCCACTGCCCCGCGCGGCACTGCCCTGCGCCCCGCTACCGCTACAGCCGCTGCAGCTGCCAATACAGCTGCTGACACTGTCTTTGCCGTAGCCACTACCACTGCAGCCGCTGCGACTTCTACTGCTGCATCTGCCGCCACACCTGCCGCTGCCGCCCCTGCCGTAGCCGCACCTGCTGCCGCTGCCGCTACAGCCGCTGCAGCTGCCGCCGCCGCCGATACTGCAGCCGCACCTGCCGCCGTTGCCTGCCGCTACAGCCGCTACAGCTGCCGCCGATGGCCCTGCCGCAGCCGCAACTGCTGCGGCTGCTGCTACAGTTACTGCATCTGCCGATACAGCTGCTGTAGCCGCCCCTGCTGCAGCCGCAAATGACGACACTGCCGCTACACCGCTGCAGCTGCCGCTACAGCTCCTGCCGCCGCCCCTCTACAGTCGCAACTTCTACAGCCGCTGCAGCTACCGCTATAGCAGCCGTCGCCGCCCCTGCCACAGCTGCAGCTACTACCGCTACCGCTATGGCAGCCGCTGCCGCCATTGCCGCAGCCGCAACTGCCACCGCTGCCGCTAGAGCCGCTGCCACTACAGCAACAGATGCTGCTCTTGAACCGCCGCTCCTGCCGCCCGTGTGCCGCACAGCCGCCGCTGCCATTGCTGCCCTTGCACCGCCGCTCCTGCTCCTGTACTGCTGCCGCCTAAGCATCGCTGTGTACCATGGCGATGCCCACTATACTGAAACTTGACGCATAGGCCCGCCCGAACGAGTATGAGTCCTGGCTAGAGGACCTTCACCATTACCTGCTTAGCGTTAGACAATCGGCGTACCCAATTGGGTATGCTGGGGCCTGTTAGCGGTGGTGTTGGAGCGGCAAATGGCGGCACTACAAATTGAAGAGAATGAAGTGATTGAAGAAGGGGTGCAGAAATTCTTCGACTTGTTGACGCGGCTTGAAGGAGCTGATTTGAAGTGTAGTGAGCTCCAGAAGAAGACCAAGCAGCTAGCCTTGCTTCCTGGGTCGTGGTCCTCTCTCATCATCAACCTCAATCGCGACTTGCCTCGCCTCTCGCTTGAAGTCGTGAAACAAGCGATCCTTCAAGAGGATTTCCGCCGCCGTGAGTTTGCGGGCGCGCATGGCGCTGGGGCAGCGAGCATCGGCCAGGAATATGGCCGTGGAAGGAGCAGTTGATGAGGAGGAGGTAGATTTGGTAGCAACAACC